TTGTGACTCCCTCAAATCTGGTTTCTAATATAACACATCAAGCGTTTCAGTATTTTAAATTAGCAATTATTCTTCTTACGACCATTCAACCTTTCATACTCTGAATTCTAAGCTACATCCATACTGAAACTCTGTGGAACTTCAAAGCCTCTTGTGTTCAAGACAAGTGCTGCAGCTCAGTCCTGAAATTTTGCCTTCTAGGATAATTTGTTCCCGTGAAGTTAGACTTTCAAGAACCCCCTAACCTGAATGAAGCGAATTTTAGAAACGACCTCATTCTGATCTAATTTCACTCAGTGTAACTTTGAAGTCAAATTTGTTGAAGATGTACGAAACTGGCACAAGAAGGATTGAAACCAGGTCCCTTATCTCTTCCAATGTCCAAGTGAGAGCGCTGTGACGGCATCCCACCTTCTTGGCGTCTCTGCTCATGTCAGACATGCCCTGTTCTTGCAGTAGCACTCACAAAATGTGCTTTCTGCTCCGTGACCTACCACGTATTTTTAACTTGTGACGAGTGTATTGTTTCCAAATAGACTTTATTCTCTCTGTATCTCTTCCAGATTGGTTTCAACACTGCAATAAACAAGCAGGTTCTGCGAGCTGGTCTAGACGCGAGAACCTTTTTAACTTCTGTAACAAAGAGGTGCAGTTATTCATGTTTGTAAATGGCCCTAACAGCCAAGGCAAGATTATATATCCACATTTTCAATGCACTCAGTGACAAAGAACAGCACATCAGACCCTTGTCCTGCATACACACATTTCTATCCACCCAGCCTGTGCTCTGCACCTTGCAATCAACAACACGGGGACACTGAGGCAAGGTCACTGGAGCCTGTCTATCCACACGCAGGTGAGTTCCTGTGATAATAAAAATGAGCATCCATCTAGCTATTGTGTTTTAATAAAAGAACAGTGAAAGCAAGCACTGAATTGAAGAACAAACACACACGCATTTGCCTTTCCCACCGCTGATTCCACCCACATCAGACGTCAGCCGCCGTCTGTGCAGACAGATACCTCTCGCAGGGTGCTGGGGAGGGTGGCTGGGAGCACGGCATGCTCGCAAGCCTCAACTGCTTACCACCACTGGAAAACCTACTGTGTCCTACTTTGTATTTGGAGCAAATTAGAGCAGTAGTTAGAGCTGTCAGCTGCCTGGATTTCCTTGAATGAATTGCTATTGCCTCTTGCTGGAACCCTGGAGTTGGAGAGATTTGTAGGACGTCCGGACCTCCCAGATGCTTGGGGAAGGAACAGAAGGAACCCCAGCGCCAGCACAGCTCACCTCTCCATTGCCCATGTTCTGAGGGGGGGTTCACTGGCCTTCCTGAGCGTGGCCATGGCAAGTCTCTTCAGACGGACTGCAGGTGTGACAGTATTGCCACAAGGAATACATGGGCAGTGGTACCGTTTGGTTTTCCAATCCTACCTGGAAAGCCAGGTGAGACGGTTCCACGTTCACCTTAGTGCCATTAACACCGCAATCATTCTTAAGAAACCAAGTTTCTCAGAGCCTTGCAACTAAACCAAGTCAACTCCGACGGTTTTGAGAAAGAATTGGTGGATTGAACAATCTAGCACACTTAGAAATAAAACACTATGATCTTTATGTTGGAGAATTGAGGATCCATTTTACTGCCATTTAAAATTTACAAGTTCATAAAAGCACTGGCATTTCAAGAACTGTTTTTCTCTAACATTTTAAGCAATTTTGTTCCCAGTTATCCTTACCAGATCTGTTTGCTTTACTTTGTTCTTCCTAACTACAGGTCACAGGTTTAGTCCACTTGATCTACCAGTTTTGCTCTCCTCACTGCTCCTTCAGCCTCAGTTTCCATCTCAATCCACTGGTTTCCAGCAACCCAGCGACATTTTTTTATTTATTTAAAAAATCAAGGACAAAAGTTACCTTAAAGCAGACAGCTACCGAAATGAGATCAGACACCAATACGCAAAGTCACAGGCATTCAGTAATAAACGATGCTCTTCCCAGAGCTCTTAACCCAGCAGTTGATTCATGTCTCTGTTGGACTTGTAAAATGAAATGGCTCTCTTCATTTCATATTTATATCTATATTTCAAACATATATACGCATCAATCTTTTTCATTTGAGATAAGCTTAAAAAGGCAAACTTTCCGCCCCTTTAAGAACATATAACTTTTCCTACATTTTCAGATAATTCACAATTTTCAGACTAGTTTCTCAAAACCAATGTCGGGACCTTGTAAAACCTCAGATGCAATTCAGTGAACAGCTGCTCCTGCAGCTCAGGTCCGGGCTGCTCCTCACAGCTGAGCCGTTGTTAATATTTATTTGCAGAATCTGGGAAAAGATACGGGCACTCCATAGAGAAAGAGATGGAGAACAAATTATTCTCCTCTTTCGGAGAGCTCATTATTATTGCATTCAAATTTTCACTCTAGCATTGCCACCCCTCATTACTCCAAGGCCGAATGTTTTATATTTAGCATTATATCTTTGGCCATATTTGTATGGGGCTTAAAAGGACAGCTGAGACATCCACAGGTCTGGGGAGTTTTTGAAGGGCAGAAAGCAAGTAATTTGGGAGGAGGAGAAACCCATCTTTATAAGAGGTGTTTAAAATAACTAATTGCATTTTATTAATTAAGGAAATAATATATTGCAATACAAGGAAGACTGACAGGGGTTTATGTGTTAGATTCCTTTTGGTGGTATTCATGCAGAAATCACTTGCTTATAGAGACCCTGAGTGCAGGCAGCTGATTTACATGGTAAGAGAGGTTCATGAAAATAAAAAGAACGAGGTAGAACTTTGTGGGTCCACCTATATCAGCTGTGGAGGCTGGATGAGGTAGTGATGCCCTCTCCTCATCCTGGCAGATCTCTTCTCTCCTCCCCTATGCCTACCTGAAACCAAATCTTCCAAAATCCACTTAAAATAATCTTCTGGAGCTTCTGCTCCAGGGGTTAAAGAGTGAGGCAGATGTGTGGATGGGGCTGAGGATATCATCCAATGCCATGAGCAGGGCTTCTGAGGTGCCGGCATTGCTGGCTGCCTGGTCCCTGCACTGTCACTGCCTCCTGGCCCATCAGCACGGGCAGAAACAGGACCCTCCCGCTCAAAAACAGGATCCTCCCGCTCAAAAACAGGATCCTCCCGCTCAGGCCGGCAGCAGGCACGGTCAGAGGCACTCAGACCTCTTCCCCTGCTCAAACAGTCGCTCCCTTCCTCTAGGAAAACCCAAGGCTGTTCTCCACACTGGCCCCAGCCCCAGGCCACCACTGGACCACTGACCCACAGCTACACTCTGTACGTCCTGAAAACTGCTGACAGTGATTCAGTCACAATGAACAAAACAGAAACCAGCATTTTTTCCTGTAAAATTTTGCAAGCTTTTTCCATTCATTTATCAAGGACACGCTCAATTTAATTTCATTCACCACCTCAGAAATCAGCACAGACAGGACATTATGAGCAGTATCAACTATTGTAATCAATAATAATGTTTTCTTTGACAGCTAAAACAAAAAATTATTTAAGTGAAAGCTATAAGTTATGTTCAGTTATCACCATGACAGATAATCCAATATTGTTTGTATAGTGTGTTTTAAATTTATTATCACCACGACAGATAATCTAATATTGTTTGTATAGTGTGTTTTAAATTTATATGTTTTGTATGTTATGTGTACAAAAAATATATTGTTTTTATATTCTTCTGTATACTATGCTTCCTATGCTGACATTCATTAAGTAAACACTTTGTTACTGCTTCCCATATATTGATTGGGTCTATTTTCCTCAATGTTGCTACTAAGAACAAAATCACGAACACCCTACACTATCTCGCTCCTTATTTATCAGACCATGATTGCTGCTGTTGACATACGAAAATTCAGAGTAATTTCACAAACTCTAATTTATTGCTTGTTTCAGAACCAATTTGATAGCAACATTCATAACAAATACTTGCAAATTTTCTACTCCCAGCCCACAATAGCAGCTGACCATTCGCAAGAATTAGTAAAGATGCACAGGAATAATAATAATAATTGAAAATAAGTTATAACTACAGTGCTTCCTTTTCCTTCCTGTTCATACCTTGAGCATTGCTATGAAAGAGCACAAACCATTCATGAGAATTAATAAAGCTGTACTAGCATAACCATAACAACTGAAAACAAGTTATAACTTCTGTACTTTAGACCAACAACATACATAAAGGGTAAGTGAGCTGGTATTATTAATTTGATTCACTTTAAACTGATGGCCCCCAATACTCTCATATTCAAGTCATACATTACCTTTGGATCGGTTGGGAATAATTTCAATTAATCTTAGCTTTTCTTTCTGACAATGGAGTAACTCCATCATGAATCCTAAAAAGCACTGAAACCAAAAAGCACCATAGCCCCACCAAAAAAAAAAAAAAAAAAGAAACCTCCATTGATGTAAACCACCTCAGTCATTTCAAAATTGTTTAAAATTTGAATGAGTTAACTTCATACACACAGGAGTTTTTCACATCAGATGCTCTTTAACCTGCAGCAGCCAGCATGAAACTGGCATAAGCTCTGTATAATGTGCTTTCGTTTCAACAGAAACGCAGTCACGTGCCCACACTTGATCCAGATTAAATTTGCACTCATTGTGATCCAGGAGTATGCAAATCTGGTGTTGACGGACATGAAACCATGGCCTTATATGACAGCCCAGATTTAGATACTTTGCATATTTAATTAACAGGTTTTTCAATATGTTTTACCCTTTAACATATCCAAAAAGCAGCTGTAATGTTCTTTTCCATGTAAATCATTAAAGTTAGATTTAAGTAAAGGAAACAAGAAATCAGAAAAAAAAATATCTCCCATCACAACAAACTTGAGTCACCTGTGAAGGGCTGTAGACATGTGGTTGCAGTCAATTCCAATAGGTAAAATAAACATACAATGGAACAGCAATTGAACCACATCTACATACTGAAACAGCCAAAAAATGAGAACTCTTACCTTTTTCACTAACACTTTCACTTTCAATCTCTACATCATCACAACTCGTGTACTCCGGAGTGGATGCCAATTCTTCTTCTGAGCTACTTAAGGAAACCTGGCGCATTTTACCTCCCTTTTTTGTTTTATGGGGCTTTGGTGGCGGAGGTCTGACAGATTCAGACTGGTCTGAGCTGAGCGAATCATTCCGTAGCATGGTCTCCATCTTTTCACGTTTCGTTTTCCGTACGGCAGAATTGGGATCCAAATGGTGTTGTTTCCTTAATGAATCAGAACGCCTCATGTCTGGTCTTTCCAGAGGTATTGGACTCCTCCTAGGTGTAGGAGGGCTATGATTTGTGGTCCTCTGACGATTGGGACTTGGTCCCTGAGCCTCTCGAGTTCTTTCCATAGAGTACGAACGTTGATTTTCCATGGCAGCTCTGCGCTCAGACACGGATCTTTGTCTTGACGGTCGTTCCATCCTCAGCATAGACATCCGAGAATCTTCCAACTCAGTATTTGCCAAAGAGACGTCACTATGTCTCCGTTCATGACGTGCTCGGGACACTTCAGCATGGATACGCATTTGTTCCTCGTAAGGTTGTGGCTTGACCGGATAACGAGCCAAATTAGGATCACTGCGGTATCGTGCCTGGTATTCCTCTTCCCTCCGCTGCCTTTCATATTCTTCCCTGTTCTGTGCATCTTCCTCCTCTACCGGATACTCCTTGGAACGCCTTCGACTCCTTCTGTTGGAATCTCTATAATCACCCAGGTCAGGCTCTTCATATAACTGAGGCCCACGCTGTGACCGCCTATCCGAATAGTCTGATGGTGACCTGGGCATCGCACTGTCTGATGGAGCATACTGTGAGTATTCGTCTCGCTCGTCCCTTTGGTCGTATCTTCTGTTCTGTTCTCTTGATATTGATGGGCTTCTTTTCCTAAATAATCATGACAAGAAAGAAAAATAATTGTGTCAGTATTTCTTGTAACAAAAATATACAGTTAATGCTAATTAAATGGTAGAACGATTAACTGATGGAAAAAAAAATCCATTCATTGCACTTCTTTGTGAAGGTGCTTGCACATTTTCTGTACTAAATTAAAGAAAGCATGTCATGCTACAAATCTGCTTATGGTGCACAGTTTAAATCAAAAATAGCATTAAAGAAAAAATGCTAATACCACATTATAAAATATAGAATACAAATACTTACACGGCTTTGTACTCATAACTGCTTTACAAGTACCAAAATTTTATCATCCTTTGTAAGAATTTTACAGCAATATAACTTGGCCATGTACTTCCATTTCATAGGCTTTTATAACCAGTATAGAAATTAAAGCTAGATGGATCATTCAGTTAGTTTCATCTCTTAGCAGCCATTATTGCTTAAAACCATACATTTCAGTTCCCACAAAAGTGTGATGTGTGCCAAGGGCAGGAACAGGACAGACAAAGATCCAGTGGCAGCACTTGTCTAAATCAGGTTAACTCAGAAAACAAATTTATTTCTGTTGCATAACATGGGAAAGAGCTTCAACGCCCTCCCTGTCTGACTTGACAAAAAAACCCTTCCCATCTATACTTTGGGCAATGGTATTAGTCCAAGTATTTGAGCACGACATGCCAGCCAGATGCCAGGATGGAGTTTCTGTACCACATTAAGCACTGGGTCTTTGTCATAGGTGGTATCCAGCCAGAGACAACCTCTGAGGCTTCAGAGGAAGATGAAAGGAGTTATCAAGAGATATTGTTTCCTAACACAAATGATTGACTGAAGCGTGTGATTTTATTATATCAAATATTTTAACAGAGGATGCATCTGGAATGTATTGTGGATGCTATATGTTCTGTTTGTTTGATACAAAGTTGTTTGCTACTTGATTAGAAGAGATCGATTAAACAGGGAGTAGTGAAAAAAAAAAAAAAAACCAGACTGGAACATCAGATCCTGCCTTTATCAATCCTAACAGGATAATGAGCATTGCAAATGCTACTTCCAGCCATGTCCAGATTCATACTTAGTTTCTCACACCAGATGGATCTGAAGGAGTTACCTGCAGGGAACAGGAGCACAGATCCTAGATGTGGATAAAAGAGACTGAGATGGGCTGTCTCTGGGATAAGATAGATCAGCTCAACCTTTAAGTAATGGAAAATATGTATGCACACCTATTTTTGTGTTATCATGCCTTTCCTCTTACCTTTAGTTCTATCTTTATAATTAAGATCCCTTTGAAAATGTTTTCTGCCGTCACAAATGGCCGCTAATCCTGAAGGACAGCCTTGCAGGCAGCATCCACGATATCCTGCCTAGTGTCAGGAAGGATGGGGAAAAGGAGAGTGAAGACAGAGCCCTGTTACTGCTAGAAGGGATAAGGAAAGGAAAGGCTTCAGCTTAGTGAAGGGGAGAAGGAAACACAGCCTTGATGCCCAGAAAAGTGGAAAGGGCTCTACCTAGCTAGTAGGAGAGAAAATGCTCTTCCCACAGCCAGAAAGGAAATGCGGTCTCTGCTCAGCAAGGGAAAACCACGACTGTCTGAGCAGAGTGGGGATAACTGGTGAACTGGCATCCTGTCTTAGGTACCACACAGGGTCACTGAACAGCGCTGGAATGATTTGGACCCAGTCTTGCCTTGTAAACATTAAAGTACTTGAGCCTTAGAATGGCATCTGCAAATAAGGAAACTAATTCAATCTTACAAACATGCAAGTCTTCCTGTGAAGCATGACAAGCAATATAAACATCATTGCGATGCATATTTCCTTATGGTGAAGCGGAGATGTCCTATCTGTCTTATTAAAGTGTCATGTCAGTACCAGCACAAATCACAGCCTCTGCAAGTTTAACAAAAACTCCGTGGATTCTGCTACTGGGGACTCAAGTTAAATCGTTCCAATGTGACATGAACAAAGTTTCATAAGGCTAAAACCAGAAGGACCAACAGGAGCAGACAATCAGGACAACAGAACTACCAGAACCCAGACAGTTTGCAAAGACAGAAGTTTTCACTGAGACAACAGAGACAGATGTGGAAACTTACTTTAAGGAAGATAAATATTTTTCATTTCAAAACTTCAGCTGACAAAAAAAAAAAAAAAGCCACATCTCAAAGTAAGTTGTTCCAATAGCAAATCACCTACATCGCTGAAAATTTCTGCCATGCCTATAATAAAAATATGCCTGATCTCACCTCCCCAATTCTGTCCCCTATGTAGGTAAAAACTTTTGTCTCTATGCAAATCCAATTGGAATAAATGGCACTCAACAGACATGGTATCGATCCATGTGGATCTCATTGCAAAATTGAGACAAATGTGTTTGCACATGGAATGCACACATCCTCTACTGTTAATACACTCTGTATACTCGGTCCATGCTGCAGGTGGTGAGGCAGTGGCCCAGGTTGCCCAGAGAAGCTGTGGATGCCCCATCCCTGGAGGGGTTCAAGGCCAGGCTGGATGAGGCTTTGAGCAACCTGGGCTAGTGGGAGGTGTCCCTGCCCATGGCAGGGGGGGTGTAACTCGATGATCTTTAAGGTCCTTTCCAACCCAAACCATTCTGTGATTTTGTGTGTGTGTGTGTGTGTGTGTGTGTGTGTGTATGTATATGACTGCATGTCACAGTGTCCTCATATGGATGCAAAGAGTAGTTGGACAAATCTCTTCTGGAAACATTGCTGCTACAAAGTCATGGGGGAGAGGCTGAGGGGATAAAAAAGTATAAGTAAAAATGTATGAGTAAAAATGCTTATTGTAGTCTTTTTGTTGAGGCAAATGTATGCCTCTCAGGAAAACACATCATCTGAGGAACTCACACAAGATTTTCTAAAAAATCCACTCTTTTTTCTGGCATGAATGATGTTCATGAGAGGAGGATGTGCCAATTTAGCATTATATTTTTATACCTCTTACACAAGCATTTTCTAACCTTGTCTGTTACATTTACCACAAGCAGTCATTGCTTTTCCTCCTTTTTTTTTTTTCTAGGACGTGAGTACAGGAACACCACCTATGGCTGAGAGAAATGCAGAGATCAGCTGGGTCCTCAATCTACTCCAACCTTTCATGAAGGAAAAAGCTTTACACAGGTGCCCTGCACAGGAACAAATAAGGACCTTCCTGAAAACACAACCTTTTTCTTCAGAGAAGCATCCTGACAGATAAAAGTAACTAATTTCATTCCTGGCCTATGTTGATTGGGACTATCAAACTCCCTTTCCAATTAATTTCATCCCTGTTGAAGGGATCTAACTTCTCTACCAAGATCACATGCCAGAAGTTGTAATCCTACCCATCAGAAATAAATTAACTGCACCTGTACACCTGATCACGGAATGGTTTGGGTTGGAAGGGACCTTAAAGATCATCGAGTTCCAACCCCCCTGCCATGGGCAGGGACACCCTCCACTAGCCCAGGTTGCCCAAAGCCTCATCCAGCCTGGCCTTGAACACCTCCAGGGATGGGCCAGAAACCTTGCTGGCAGGAGAGGGCTCATCCTCCTACACACACAGTTGTACAACATATGCCGTACATTTTAAACTCGTGTTATTAAATCATGGTAGGAGGAAGAGTACTCATGAAAACTTAGGGCCAGTCACTACTATTCAAACTCTGCTGTTATTTTTAGATGAGAAGCTAATTCTCACTCACCTTCACAAGCTTTTGTCTAATCCATTTCTCACCATTAACTACCTCAAAGATACCTTAACAAAAGCTTTTCCTCATGTACCTCCAGCTAGATACACCGTGGAAAATGACTACTCCTGCCTTTCCAGGACTTTCCTGGAACATGAAAAGTTAAGAGAACTGTCAATGTGTGTCAACAGCTGTGATTATACACCCTCCAGTTGCCAGCCCAGCTAAGCACTATATAACTCTTGTCAGAAGGATTGCCACCTTTTCTGAAGAGGTTACCACACCGCTGAAAACTCCTCCAGGACATTTGTGATCACTGCTGCTTTGAAATCATAAGAAAATAAATTCCCTGTTACGGTTAGAAAACTCTTCATCAGGCACATTCTATAAATATTATTTTTTCAGATACAAAAAACTGAAACTTATTTTCTACTAATTATCACCATTTTTTTTTTTAATTTATCAATACATGACATTTGGTCTTTTAACACACATCTCTTAACCTTACATTGATGGAAACCTTATTTGCACTGCACTATGTACTATGAAAAAGCAAATAGCTTGACTGTAGCCTGACCTCTTGCTCATAAAGTTCAATTATTGAACTGCCCCACACTACAATAGGAAGTACTTAAAATATGGCACGGAAGAATATGAGCCAGCTATTCTGCTTTGATGGCTCTGATTTCAGTAATCGAACTAAATAGCTTGAAAGCCTTTGACATTTCATTTTTCTTCTTCATGAAGACAAAACACTATTCTGCATTGATTTAGATTTTTAAAAAATTAACCCAAGCATACTCAAGAAAAGGAAATTTTAAAAGATAAGTTTCCATCACATTTCAGAAGCCACGGATGTTCAGAAACACTGTAATATGAACAGTATTTATATCAGGGTCAAAACTCAGTCTCAGATCTTCCTGGCTACTGATCTTGTTCTCAGACCAACAGAAGACACATTTGAACTGGAGAAAACTTTCAAGAAAATACCATTCTAAAGATATGTTCAAACATATGGGTACCTGAATTCATCTACATTTTCTTGGAAATTTTTATAAATAAGAAGTTTTGCATCAATAAAAAAATAGTAAGGTCTCAGTGGGCCTAAGCCATCATCAGCTACTTGAAAACTGAATATTGGTCACCTGCTTGTAAGAACTAATTATAATTTACGAGGCAATACTTTAATGTTTTGGTTTCTGTTTCCTATAAATTAGCAAGGAATAAATTTGACTGCAAAATTAAAACTGAAAATACTTCTCCCGCACATATTGCAATTTTGCTTAACTCTTCAAAAT